CGGGCCCCGGCTGCCGAGGAAGGATCTGACCGGCAGTTTCCTGCCATTGTCTCGCTGGGGCTCCTCAGCCACCCCGCTCCCGCCCGTCCCCTGTCCCCACGCCGACTCTGCAGCCTCGCCTCCCCGAAGCCCGGTCTCTAGACAGGCCGGCCCCCCAGCGCGTCCAGCGTGGGCCCGCAGTTCTGTTCGGCCGACCCACTCTCTCCTGGGGCTGCCTGCTACCTTTGAGAGGACTGACTGGGGCCTGGGGGTCACCAGGGCCACCAAAGCCCACCAGGAAGTTGAGGCACGTGGTTACCAGGGCAACCATCCTTGTTAGGCCTGTTCGGTACCACTCATCCTCTCTGGGGAGGCGAGGACTTGATGGTGCGGCTCCCTCTCCCAATAAATCAGATCTGACAGAGGCCACAAAGGGTGGGCAGGGAGCACCAGCACCAAGAAGGGTCGCTGGACAAGCACGGGAGGGGGGGAACCATTTACCCTTTCCTCACCCCAGACACCAGCTCGTGTATTGGGGAGCAGGGCCCTGAGGGCAGGCCTCAGAGCTGCCCACCCTACCTCAGAGTCTCCCTGGGGTGGACCCCAGGGAGAGGCTTGGGGAGGTGGGAGGAGGGCCTGTCTGCACTTGATGGATGGCACTGAAGAAATGTCTGGCACTTGGGCTCTTGCGGGGGAGGTGAAGCCGTAGCCACCTCTCCCTCCCCCATCTGCATTCCTGTCTGCCCGCCCAGGAAGGGGGAGGGGGTGGGCAGCCAGAGCTGGGACGGAAGGGCCCTTACAGAGTCATTTTGCAAACGATCACGTGTGGGCACTGGCATGGGAGTGGAAGGCACGTGGACAACCCCCAAATCCCAAATGAGACAAAAAAGGGATCCACGTGTCCCCACCCCACTCTTCCTCCTCGGCTCCCAGGCGTCCCTGGACAGGAGACGCCAAACGCTCCATCCAGCCTCCGCTCCTTCCATGTGGTGCACCAGGCGTTGGGTAATACAGCCGTCCTCATGGTGGGGTCCAGAGACCCTGCGAGTCCCCAAAACCCTTTGGGGGAGGGATGAGGCCTGAACGATTGTCATGCTACTGCTGAGACATGATTGGCCTCCGCCGTGCTGATATATCCGCAGGGAGGGTGTGAGGGGTGACAGCTGCTCATGTCTCCGCGTGAATCGGGGCAGTGGCACTGGATGAGTCATTGTAATTCTCATTACCACGTATTGGCAGTTAAAAAAAAAAAAGCCAGTTTCTCTTAAGAATGTTCTTGATAAAGCAATAAAAAGTTACAAACACGTGAATGGGTTTATTACGGTTATTTAAATGAATCAACAGGGCTTGTTTTAATTTCTAAAATGGTACGTATCGATAGATGTAATCCACAAAAACAAAAGCTCTCGGGCCCCTCCATAACTCAGAATGGTGTAAGTGGGTCCTGGGACCCAAGTGTCAGCACTGCTGGGGAGACTCTGAAGGGGAGGGTGGCCTTTCTCAGGTACTGCTCTCCAAGCTGGAGAAGCTCGTCTTATCTGATGTAGGGGGTGGAGAACATGGCCTGTGTTTTCTGGCAACCCCCTCTCCCCGAAGAAGAGACACTGTCGCTGGAATCAAGGTTTTGATGGCTGCTCTCAGGAGAAGCAAAGCAAACAGGCCTGCGGCCCCCACCCAGTGACACCCCTCTCCCCTCGCACTGTATCTGACATTAGGGGGGCGGTTGAGGGGGGTTCGTGGCCTGTGTGGGCTAGACCCAGATGTGGACTCCCCTCATCCCTAGGGTCACCTACAGTCCCTTTTCCTGTTTCCCCAAGATGGCTCTTCTCCCTCTCCACGAAAGTCACAGTGTAGCAAGGTTGAGTTGAGGGTGGAGGGTATGGGAGGGGTGGGAGGGTCCAGGAATCCACACCCCAGCCCAGCCCACACGGGGGCATGGGGCGGAGAGCGGGTGCTGTGCCTGCCTGTGTGCCACTTGACGTGGCTGTGTGCTTTGGTCCGGTCCTGTGAGCTCTGCGTTCCCCCCCACACCAGTCCCCTTTCCGAGGTGATAAACGGTGTCTCCACTGAGGTCAGCACACCTGAGCTTTCAAACCACTTCTGCGATCCTTCGGCAATGGTGGGGCTGCTGTAGGCGAGGCTGAGGCCTGGCGCCTCTCTGTCGCCTCCGGCACAGAGAAAGGAGGCATCCGAGGCCAGGAGGGGAGGTGGGTCAACCTCGGGTGCTAGTCCCCCGCTCCCCCAGGAGCCAGTAGGTCCGAACTTTGCCTTTGCCCTGGAGGGAAATAGAAGTTGGGGTGGGGAGTGGCACACCCACTTTCCCAAATGATGTGTGTGGGGTTGGCCAACTGAGAAAAAAGCTGAGGGACGGTCACCCCCTCGAGGCCCCCATGGGGTGGTGAGGCAGGGGCTCCCCTCTCTACCTTCATTTCTACATCCCCACGAAGCTCCAGCTCGAACCCACCGAACTCCTCCAGCACGGCCTTGGTCTCAGAAGACAAGTGGATCTTCAGGGCTGAGCGGGATGACGGAGAAGGAGGGTAAGGGATGTGAGAGAGGGGACCTGGGGACCGCGGGGTAGGAAGATGCTCTCCCTCCCTCCTTCGGCCCGGAAGCCTAATGCAGAGCCCCACCCCACCCACGAGGTGTCTGACCATGTGGTCCCTCCCTTGGAACTTCAGAGCTGTGTCCTCTATCCTGGTCCCCAAGAGTCACGTATAGCTATTTAAATTTAAATTAATTAAAGCTAAGTATAGTTAAAAATTCGGGGTCTCAGTTGCATGACCCCATTTCAAGAGATCCCAGCCCCGCGTGACCGAGGCCGCCATGCTGGCCAGCAGAGATTGCCCCGCGTTGTCATCGCTGTAGGCTGTTCTGCTGGACAGCGCTCCAGCGCGTCACCGGGCAGACAATACGGCACGGTGGTCAGGGCTCAGGCTTCGGACCTTGCCCTGCCCAGTGCGAATCCCAGCCTGACCACTTGCTTGGGGGGGAGTCATGAACTCTCCGGGCCTCGGCGTCCTCGTCTGCGGAAAGCTGGCAGCGACAGCACCCATCCCCTCCGGCTCGGAGGAGGCACTGTATCAGCCGTTGCTGTTGCTGGTGTGTAACTCTTGCCCTCATTTTCTGGCCGAGGGAACGGAGTCCCAAGGGAGGAGGTCTGCCCAGGCCGCTGGTCTCAGACCCGGGCCCCTTGCGTCCTGACTTGGCGCCCCCACACCCCTCTTCTGGCCTCCCTCTGAACTCCCGGGGCCTGCAGCACAGAGGCCTTGCTCTGTTACGGAACCACTTCTCAGAATATGCTCCCTGAGCACCGGACCCGGTGAGAGGCTTTCTCCAGCAGCCCCGAACGCAGTGCCCAGGGAATGTCTGCGGAACCGGAGGCCCCCTGGGTTCCGAGGAGCTCTTCTCCGGCTGCAAGGCTTGGATGGGGTCTGCGTGGACCCCAGCTAACTGTGGGTCTGAGTCTTCTCAGTATCCCAGGGCCTGGCACTCAGTAGTCACTCAATAAATGTTGACTTGATTGAATTGTGTTGAATACAGCAGGAGAGCAGAGGG